ATTACTTTGTGAAAGCTAACACATTCGATGGTATGAAAATGTCGACGTGCACGGATGATACAATGACACAATAATTTAGATTTGTAGCTTCGGTGGATGGTTTTGATGTGGTTGTGTTCTTTGAGCTGGATAGTTAGTTTGACAAGCTTTCATTGCCTCACCACTAAGCAACATCTTCAATGCATACTTCAATTTGAATTGAAGTGAGCTTATAGATTTCTCCACGACTTCACTAGTAGTCCTGTCTCCTGGTGTATGACCTTGAACGTGACTATTTGATTGTTTTGTGTATTCTCACACCCTCTAGGCTACTTGTATAAGTATTGACGCTGATTGTTTCCTTGACTTGAACTTTGACCCTTTATGTGTGAGATTTCCTTCTTATCGGTTGGTAAATTTTATCTATCTCAATTTATCTATTGATTCACGATTCACTGGAAAATCGGGCACCCTTCTAAAAATTCTCCAGCATTCTTGGTGTTTCCTCTGTCTAATATTTCAACGCTGGGTGTCCCATTCGAATTAATGTCCGTGGTTGTCTGTATGCAGTGAAGCGATATGGGTGATGGAATGGATGTCATGTCTTTCGATGGCTAGTTAGTTTATGATCAGGGATACGAAGACGAAGGGGACGTCCACTTTGGCCAGTTGTTACAGTTTATCTTGTATATGATGTTGGTTTTATCTTATTTCCTTCTTGAATCCTTTGGTTGACACAGAACCAGATGAGTGAAGTGATTCTGTTGGTTTGTGTGCGACGTCAATTCCTAAAGTTCTGAGTAGTCTTTCGGTGATTTTTGAGATGTCCTTTAGATATGGTAGGGAGATTTTCTTCGTGCTTTCCTAGGGTGCCTTTGACTTGACTCGGTTGGCTTGGGATATCCATTCTTTTGGAAGACGGCCATGATATATCTTTCTTCAATTTTCTTTGAGGTGGGAGTGCATCTGTGATCTTCAACCTCCCCTTACCAAATGAACATTTTCAACATGGATCAGAGAAAATTTGATGGAACAAGACAGGACAGCAAGCAGATCCTTATGGGTTGTTAGTGCTGGACATTAATGTCAGTTTAACAGACTAAGAGTTTGCATTGATCAACCGGACGTTACACGTTGTAGCGCTGAAGTAAATTGAGCGCTTTATCGCCTGCTCTCAGACAGATCGAAGAAGTTAAACAATGAAGTTCAACACTTACTGTCGACAAATAACCCTAAGAAATTGTTTACCAGCACAGGTACCTAATAAATCGATAACACATCGTGTCTCCAGAGTGAGAAATATTCGGTTGATATATGTAAAAAGGAATTCTATAAGGTCGTCAAGAGTATTCAGATAATATTTTTGCTGGAGTATTAATCTTGGATGTGTAGTACCTTGATCAATTAGGAATGTAGATGAAGTGAAAAGTGATAGTATATGATTCTTTGATAACAGAATATTCGAAATACTGATATAGACATCTATATGATTTGCTTATAGATAAATTGTCTTACTCTGTGCTGAATGAAGACTAGCCTTTCTCATAATCAAGTTATGAAGGCGTATAAAAAGGTTTTCACTAGTGACACTATTGTAGTCACACGACTACACTAGTAGGCAGGTGGCTAAAATGATTTCACGTCACAGGATCTGAAATTATTCATTCACTGACGGTTTATTCTTTGACAAACTCCTGTGATTTAGCAGCCACATATCCTCCTGGCTTGATTTGTAAGGATTTGATTTGTTTTTTTTACGACTTTGATTTGACCACAGAGTGATATTATTTAGAGAACAATAGGAGACAGACAGAGAGTACTGGACAGCTGTTTCATACTAGTTTGGGAAATTATCAGCAGTACGCATCTACTGATAAGGTTCGAACACAGGACCTTCCGGTTACAAGGCAAGCTAGCTCGTATACCATTCAGCCACTGGGATCTAATTCAATGGCCATCCCATGAATTCTAACTTCTACCAATTTCTTGATTTTTACAGCAGCCAACACCCTGATTTTCAATGGTTCTCTAACTGATAACAATCCCTGGACGAATTCGAAAAACAGATGGAAACCTTCCAAACTGACTCTTGAAAATTAATCTGATGCTTGTTAGTTAATTTGTTACAAGACGGAGTTTCCTGGAGTCCCTGTGAGAAATCGTGGCCAGTGACGTCCATCCAGATGTCACGTGTGTGGATGGATATCCCACCTGCGACAATGGGTGGAGTCACGCTAAATCAAGAATTGGTAGAAGTTAGAATTCGTGGTCTGGACATTGAATCGAGTTCCGGTGGCTGAATGGTCTAATAGCCCTCTTGTCTTGCAGTCGGAAGGTCCTGGATTTGAAAACCACTATGGTGGGTGTGTACTGATGATGACTAAATAACTAGTATGAAACAGCTGTCCAGTACTCCCAGACTTTCTTACGATGGTTCTCTAAATGATATGAATCCATGGTCAAATTCGAAAAATATATTCTCATACTGTTACTGCTATAAGATAGCAGAGATTATGTTTACCTCTGTGGCTTAACATTAGGTCTAGCAGGATGAGCTGAACACACAGCATACTCGAGAGATCAAAAAGAATACGCAGACTTATCTAATCACACATCAGATAAGGAATACATCGTTGCAAATATACATTAGACGTAGACACAGTATTACTCAGTCTTAATCTCTCAGATGGTATAGGTATTCACTATCAACCTTTGACTAGATTCATACTAAATGCCTGAACCTTCGATAACACTTTTACCGGGTAGAAATATTGTAAACTCCTAGTTTTTACTTTCCTAATAAATGAACTCATTGGAAGGGTAGACTGATACACTGGCTGGCAATTAAGCAGTCATCAGTATGAAACGTTGTAGTCTTTAGTGCTAGTGTTGATTGTGATCTGTCAAGTTGACGGAGTGATCACCAAGGTTGGTGACCCTTCATCGTGGTGAACTCAAAATTTATGTTACAGGGTTGGAGGGAATCGACATGACTTCCTGCTTGTTGACACTCATTACAGAGGATTGCCTACCACCATGATGACTAAATTGTATACTTAACTGACAGACTTTAGACTGTATCAACACCAGGGATGAGACGGTTAATATTAGTTGTACCCTGGGAACCGATCAGTGGATCCATTAAAGTCATACAGAAAGTCAATCGAGAGTTCAAATCGTGGAGTATAGTAAACTAACTTGTCTTAGGATGGTATAAAACCGACTCAAGTTTCATGTTTCTGTTTGAATGACCCAACACCTGATGAGTTGTGTTTTGAACATGTGAAATGGGATATGACTATGAAATCTTGACTGCCATAGGTTAATTGTCTCAATTTATATTCTTACTTAGTTGGATTCTAGTAAATGATACAGGTATTTAAGTGTAAAATAGCTAGTATAACTACGCTTATCAGCACTACCTAACACAATGAATTTGAAACTCTGAGGACATCGTGCTCAACTGCCTATTGAATCTAGATGCAGGGAAATCAATGGACCCTGATAATCTTCATCTATGGCTTCTCAAGGAGCTATTAGCTTACATAGCTGGCCCATTGACCACGATCTTCAAGCTTTCTCTCTCAAAATAAAGTGTTACCGCGTGACTGGAAAGACGCCATAGTAACCTCCATCCAGAAAGGAGGATCCAGATAAAGCCCTTCAAATTACAGGCCTATTAGTCGCACCAGCACTTTAATGAAGACACTGGAAAGAATCATCAAAAAAAGCATCATGGCATATCTGGAAAACGACAGAATTTAATTCAGAGCACAGCACGGCCTGTCAAATCTCCTCACTGCAAGAGAAAGCTGGGTCAAATCAAGGGGACAACAGACGACCTGTTGACGTCGTCTTCATAGACTTCAGAAAAGCCTTCGATAAAGTTCCTCACAAAAGACTACTGGTGAATTTGGAACGTCTTGGTATCAAGGGCAGACTACTAAACTGGCCCAGGAAATTCCTCAAAAATAGGAGGTAGAGGGTTAGGATCAACTTGAAACTCTCCTCTTGGACAGCAGTGCGTAATGGAGTGCCACAAGACACGGTACTCGGACCTCTCCTATTTATTTTGTAAATCAGTGGGTTATCTCTGCTCACCGACTCCCTTATGGTCTTAAACGCAGATGACTTAAAAATCTGGAGGGAGTCAAAGGGCGACGGTGATACTCTCACGTTGCAAGAAGACCTCAATAAATTGTGAGAGTGGTTCAGAGAATGGATGCTCTCGATCAGTGTAGCAAAATGTTCAACCATGATCATCAGACAAGCAAGCATCAGCTCCTACAAACTAGAGGGAATAACACTTCTATCAGTTCAGACTCACTTGGATTTAGGTATCGTGTCAGCATACCGTCACGTGGTGGCTGCACGTAGTTTCAGATCCTTATGGGAAATTAGCACAGCCTTTACTAGAATCACCAGAGATATGTTTACCCCCTCATTTACATCTCTGATGAGGTCAAGACTAGAAAACTGTATCCAGGCAGCCTGTCCTTGTCTAAAAGGGGACTCACACATTCTAGAAAGGGTCCAAAGGAAAGCAACACGTATAGTTCTCGACAAGACTACTTTATCATACGAGGAAAGACTAGACAGGCAGAGAGGAGATTTAATCACAATGTTTAAAATTCTAAATAATGACTACGGACCTGACCTATTCTCTCTTTTCCTTCACACCAGACCAGAACACCTTAGAGGACATAGCAGGAGAGTTTAAAAGACAAGAAGAAATCATACTAATGTTAAATACTGGTTCTCACACCGAGTCATAAACTCTCGGAGCCGACTCCCAGAAGAAGTGGTGTCTGCAACCTCAACTGATTCGTTCAAGAAGAGTTTGGACAACCACAGACGTTTACGAGAAAAGGGCTAACATAGGCTGCAAGCCGTCTATCTTCAACCATTAAATCTGAATCTGAAATTTGAAATCCATCGAACGCCACTCTTGTGTCACTCATTTAAATCAGTACGTTAAATGAGTTTATAAATAATGTTTTTGATTAACAGTTAAAACTTACACGATCTTTTATCTTGTGAAGTTTTAGTTCCCCATGGACATACACATTTGTAATCACCACTTGGTAAGTCTATACATTTCCCACCATTATTACATCTATAAGGATCTGACTCACATGGCGATTCTAAAATGGAAGACAAGTAAGAGGAATATAGACAACTGAAAACTTGTGTATTCAAAAAAAAAGAAACTTACCAATCCAGAATAGAAAAATTAACTTTCGGGAGTTTAAAAGTATACACAAATATCGGTAGTTGATGCGTGCCACATGAGAGGTGATCTTTTTCACTGCAGTTATCTTCTGTGTGCCAGACGGTTCAATCATCAAGTCTTCATTGTGCTTCTAGAAGACATCTTTAGTGCTTCCGCTTATCGTTATGAATGATATAATTGTCTTTTTTGTGATAACCTTGACTATAAATGGTCGTCTTTAGAGTAGGCATAGTAAATTTAGTCTGGAAGAAAAGCGAAAGCTGAGACAGTCTAAACAGACTATAAATATTCGGCTGAGCTATAAATCGTCACCAGTATTTCAGCGATGACTTTATCGCCGTGATCAGTAAGGAATTCGTGGAAAATACCCATTGGAATATTACATTGAAAAGAACAAGAAGTTCATCAAAGGTATCTTTTCGGCGATTTCATTCTCAAAAGCTGTACAATCGCATTTATATAGATTAATTTACATAGATACAATTCTTATTTGTTTAATTCCACATATTAACGAAGGTGATAATAATTTTCATCTTGATATGAGAGTTTGAAGGTAGGTAAGCAATTATTCAGTGTTTGAACTAATAAGCCCTAAACTTCAGTTTATCGAAGATGATTTTACTAGATGTAGCCGCCTAGACAACCATTTCCTCGAACCAAGTTTGAAATTGAACTGAGTCATACAACTGAATGAAATAGGGATCAGGAATTCATCAGCTGTTTGAAAATATAAACATATTTTAAGTGAGTAGAGGTGGGTGAATCAACCTCTTGGATTTCGAGTTGAACATAGGACTTCAACAACACAACTTCCCTTCATTCTGTTTTCTTCAGTCCTCTCCAGCCCACTCTTACCCAAGATATTTTATCTCCTCCATATCAATCTTGGATACAAGCACAACGAGTTGTCCTCAATTCAGAGTCGACTCGAGAGATGGACTGATTCGCAATTTCACCTGACAGTCTCCTCAGAGTATGCTTAAAATCCATCTTCATTTTCTTCTGCATATTTCTTCACCAATTGGCTGTCGATTGATCTGCTGTCAGAGTTTCTTATTGTTAATTCTTTCTGGCCGACCAGCCACTTGATCTTCAATGTGGAGTGAAGGCAGTTTTCCATAAAAGTCGACTGCAGACCTTTGGAATTACTTTTCTTGATATTCGAGTATTGGTTTTTATAGGAATCTGACAGATTAGTTACAGGATTTCATCATGAGCTGATATCGGTTAGAGGATCATTGGAAATCAAACTGGGAGTACTGGACAGCTGTTTCGTCCTAGTTTAGGACTCTTAAGCAGTAGGCAACCACCACGCGTGTTCGAACTCAGGAACCTTCGGTTACAATGGCCAGTGAGCTCGAAGACCATTAAGCCACTGGGACTCGATCCAATGACCCATGAATTCTTAACGCGGGCGCCAAGTTTTTGACACATAGAGAAGAACTGATTTCACATTTGTGTTTAAAAATCCTAATCTCTTATTCCTCATGCAGAGTACAGTAAATTTCCAAACCAACATCGGTGCCCATTCGTTTACAATATTTTCTTGCATCAACTGAATAATAAGTATTTAAAGTAGCGAGCTTCTCTGAACTCTGAAGCGCTCAATAGTTACATGAATAGTGACAACATGCTACAATTTAAGAGTTAATGAGAAACTCATCTTGAACTGCTAGAAATAAAAGTCAGTGACGCTGAGAGTATGGATGGATTCAGTACACCTGGACAAAACTCACATATCAGTTAGTGACACAAACTGCTGCTAATACTACAGAAGCATAATGTAGATCAAAAGAAAAAAGATAATATCATGGAGTTTGATTAGCTGATGTCATAAAAAAGCCATCGGGTAAAATGCTTGTTCATACAAAACAAATGAACCAATGTTGGACACTCTAACAGACTCTATTAATGAATGAAGGATTCGAAATGGAAGATGCCGGCAAATCTGTCCTATCTCATATCCCGAAACATGCTCAAATTATCTCATCTCCTCCAATTCATACAAATTTCATGTCAATACCGAACCGACGACCCAGTAGTCATCTTTCATTCAGATTCTACTCGAGGGATGCCATCCAATGACCTCCTCAGTGTATGCCCAGTTTATCTCCATTTGCGTCTGCACATTTGATTGCATGGAGGATTTCTTCATAAGCTGATATCAGTAACAGAGCCACTGGAAAACCTGGGAGTACTGGACAGCTGTTCCGTCCTAGTTTGGGACTCCTCAACAGTACGCACCCACCGGGATTCGAACCCAGGGCCTTCTGGTTACAAGATGAGCTCGTAGACCATTGAACCACTGGGACCCGATCCAATGCTTCTTTGAATTCTAACTCATGAAGAAATCCTCTATGCAATCAAACGAATTCCCTACAAAACCAATATTTGAAAATTAATCTGATGCTCACTAGCGACTGGCCCTATTCAGGCTAATAACCTGGGGTTCTGATGGGAAGCCATGACCAGTAGAGTACAGCAGACTGAAGATGAGGTATTAACTCATCAAAGAAAACATTGCGAAATGGTCACGCTATGTCGTGAATTGGCAGAAGTTAGAATTCAAGAATTCAATAGCCTCCTCAGTGTGTGCCCAGTCCATCTGCATTTTCGTCTGCACATTATATTGACTAATCGCCTCCTGATCAATTTTTTATGAGTTACTTGTTACTAATTCTTTCCGGCCATTTGGTTTTCACTAGAGAGCGAAGGCAGTTATTGATAGAACTTTTCAGCTAGCTGTTGGAAATCCTTTCCATCACACTCAAAGTTTCTGACCCTTACAGTAGAAATAACTAACTGACCTTACATTTGTATTGAAAATCCTAATCTTGTTTTTTTTATGCTGAGGCGGAGTGCAGAAGTTTATCCAAGCTAAAATCATCGTCCAGTCACTAATTAAAAGTTTTCTCAAAAACTGAATGAGAACTCTTCTAAGCAATGAGCTCCTAAGAATGTTGAAGCGCTAAATAGCTCCATCAAAAGGGATAACACGCTAAAATTTAAGGGTTACTGAGAAATTTGAGCTTGAATGGTTAGAAATAAAAGTCAGTGTTGCAGAAAGTACAAATGGATTTAGAAAACTTGTAAGAAACTCAGATGTCAGTTAGTGACGTAAACTGCTACTGATATAGAAACAAATTTAAATCGGAAGACAAACGATCATATCGTAAAGGATGGTGTCAAAGCGATCAGTTAAAACGCTTGTTTGAACGAAGTAAATGAACCAATGCTGGACACACTAACAGACTGTATTAATCAGTGAATAAAGAGGTTGAAATGAAAAGTATAGGCACATAGATCCCGTCATCGACAGTTTCTATTGTCAGGAACATCTGTCTTACGTCATAGCCTGGAAATACTTTCAAGAATATCTTATAATCATTCAAGGAAGTAACTCATTTAAAATCAACAGAAGTAGATACTCCCACCTAATCTAGAATTCAAAGGTGACATTGAATCAGAAAACCTTCATAAACGCCTCTCCAAATCTCTGAGGAAAACATACTTCGCCGCGAGCCTACAACCGATGTTTTCCTGCAGGAGACTGCTTAGCCAAAACACGAGAGACAAGCTATCGCACTGGGCCACTTTATCATGCATATACCAGTTTGTTTGCTCTTGCGGAGCTGACTGATTACATCATCCGTACCATGCGCCAACTTGAAAAACGCGCTAGTGAACGCTATCCGGTCTGGCTAGTAAAAGGAGATCAAAAACGTGTATATAGTTCAGTGAGACAGAACATCTGGTCAGTTCAAGACATTCAGCGCCATTCGAAAAATCCTTCAAAATAATACACAATATTCGATCAAATCTATCAAAGGGAGTAAAATTAAGACATATGGGCATAGCCGGGGCACTAGCTACCCGAAAGCTCAAACCTACGCTATGTATCCAAAAGAAATACATTCAACCCTTTTCCCTACAGTGGCCATCATAAACAGGTAATTTTTTTTAGTAATGAACATCCCATCCCCTTTCATATCCGAACTTCCTGTGTATTTTGTCATTTTATTATTTCTACATATTTAATCCCTGATTGCATAAACAATTATTCATCACATTAGTTATGATCCCACTAGATGTTTTTATCCAAACATTCTATGTATTGTTGTTATTTCTACATTTCCAACTCCTAATTGCACAATCAGTGTCAATCTTCCCAGTAATTATGATGCTACTTTGTTCGAGTTTTATCCGTCCCCCTTACCCTCTGTTTATTATGGCATTTTAATGCCTAAGTATAATTTTATTATTTTAACACTTGACCAGAAATTATTCTGGAACTTTCCCATCCATTTGATATAAATACACGAATGTAAAGTTATCTAGTTGATGGTGACTTCGTCGAGAAGAAAATTTTCTTCTTCCTTGCAACCGTCTTTTATTAATAATTCCTATGATCCAGTGTGTGTGTATGTATATTCCGTAATCATCAGGAAATTATTTTTGAATTTACTCAATGGTGGATTAATCTTTCGTGTACCAAGATATGAGCTGCACACTTTTGATGTGATAGCAAGTAACAGACTAAATTAGATGAAATGAAAGACGAATAACTAAGCTAAAAGTCCATTGTGTAACATATCAACCATAAAGAAGATGAAAATATTTAAAAATAAAAGGTCAAATAACTGACTCACTTTGTATGTAAACACATTCCAGTGCTGTTTTGTCAAAGTATGTATTTTCTGGACAGTTACATCTAAAGAGAAATAGAAAAGATGAATTCGTTGATTACCTACACATAACACAGCACATACCGCTGTCAAAAATCAATTTTATGAAAAAGTGTTTTCCGAGTTTAGCTAATACAGCTGTTTATTATTTATATTCTTATTATTATTATTCCACTCGAGTTCTGATTGGAACAGATCTGTATTTCATCTTGGTCTCCGCTATCTTTCTTTAGGTGGATCCAAGACTGTCCCATGTTATAATGGGACACGTCGGCACGTCGGCTCATACTCATGTCCGGTGCTCAGTGTCACGCGACGGTCTCCACACCGTATGCCTAGTCCACCTTCCTTTCCTTTCGTGTATTCTCTGAGCGAAACATTGTTGATCGATTGCTGTCAGCGTTCCGTGTTGCTTATCCTTTCTGGCCGATCTGGCTGATCTTTTTTAGCCAACAGTTGACGATAAACGTTTGCAGTTTTTTTTTGGAAAAAGTTTAAGTAATGCTTCAAGCCTGTGAACCCTGTAGATGCACTGATTTGAAATTCATGTTGAAGATTCGAATATTGTCGCTTATGCTGACTGAGTACAATAGGTTTTCAGACTAATATCGAAGTAATGGAGGCTTGACTGGCTTCTTCAACGTTGGATTTTACACAATCATCTCTGCCGCCTGTATTTGAAAAGATGCTGCTGAAGCAAGTATGTGAGGGTTCTGGCTTCCTTTAAACTTCTCCCATCGATGGTGATTGATGTTTTGTCTTTGTTTTTCTTTAGATGTTTTCATCGCCTCTATCTACGGCGGCCAGATTAAATTACTACTCTACCAGTATTTCCATCCATCAAAATGCTGCTTAAACTCTTCTGTACATCTTATTGTTTGCTTCGTACAGTTATATTAAATAACCACTGCATGAATTCGCACGCATATTTTGTAAGCTTCGCACTAAACACTGTGCAACTCTTGAAGCAAATAAAGAAACGATCCCCAGAATTGGTTCTGTCTTCATATGCAAAAACACTAGGCCAGATGATGTACTTCAGGTTATAACTTTCTATGTAAATTCTGTATGAACTAAGCATGCTGAAAATTTCTGTAATGTTATTATTATTATATCCTTTAATTCCTAGAGGAACATGGGGCTTCAGCTGCGCATCTCCATTGCCTTCTGTTTTCTGCCAACTTTTTCACCCCGCTCCAAGTCTGCCCACATGCTTTCATCTCTTCCTCGCATGACCTCCTCCAAGTCACGCTTGCACTGACGACCAACTCGCCGCCTCCCTTTCGGGTTCCACTCGAGGGCTTGTCTAGTGATGTCACTTGATGGTTTCCTCAGAGTATGGACAAACCATCTCCATTGCCTCCTGCCTATTTGTTTCACAATCGGTTCCTGCTGGGTTGGTTCGCTCATTGCCAGAGATCCCTGTTGCTGATGTTTTCTGACCGGCCATCTGATCTTGAGTATTGAGAGAAGACAACTGTTATTGAAGGTCTGAAGTTTGTTTGAGATGCTTTTTATGACTAGCCAAGTCTCTGATCCGTATAGTAGCACTGACTTCACATTGGAGTTGCAAATCCGGATCTCATTTTTGATGCTGAGTGATGTTGACTTCCACACAGACTTAAGGGTAATGAAAGCCTGTCTTGATTTTCCGATTCTGGCTTTGATATCCTCGTCAGTTCCGCCTGTAGTTGTAGTTGAAATGATACTTCCCAGGTAGGTGAAGGAGGTTGTTTCTTTCAGGTTCTTCCCATTTATTCTGGCTGATTGTTGTCTGTTGTTGTTGCTACTTTTGGCGTTTCTGTTGGCCAGGAATCTTCATCACCTCTGTTTTATCTATGTTCACCTGAAGTCCTCCCTGTCTTTGTTGCTTCTTCTGCCAACTTGTTACTTTTCATTTGCATATCTTCCAGTTTGTGAGAAATCAGACATATATCATCGGCGAAATCCAGATCCTCCAAGTTTTTTGTGTGAGTCCATTTTATGCCTGTTTCCTCATTGCCCTGCCCGCTCTCTGTCGCATTATCCAATCTACTGCAATCAGGAAGATCATTGGTGATAGTAGGCAACCAGCTTGTCTCACTCTTGTCTTCACTTCTTCGAAGGCTTCCGTAAGTTTCCTGTTGTGAATTACTTGGAATGCAGCATTGTCGTATGACTGTTGGATGAGATGTATAATTGTCGATGGCATCCGGTAGTAGCGAAGTAGTTGCCAAATCACCTCTCGATCGACGCTGTCCAAGGCCTTCTCAAAGTCGATGAAGTTGAGATAGAGAGGTGACTGACTGCCATTCCAAGCTTTGTTCAATGATGATCCGTAGAGTGGCGATTTGATCAATACATGACTTGTTTCTCCTGAATCCAGCTTGTTCCAGTCGGAGTTTTTCATCCAAGGCTTGTTTGATCCTCTCCAGGATGATACGGCTTAGTACTTCTCATGGGATGGACAGGAGCATAATTCCACACCAGTTTTTGCATTGATTTAAGTCTCCTTTCTTTGGTAGTTTGAAGAAGTGTCCTTTCTTCCAATCCTCAGGTACTTTTCCCTCTTTCCACACCTTCCCTAGTAATGGCGTCATCAAGTCTGCTGTTGTCTCTGGGTCTATTTTCAAAGCTTCTGCTGGGATTCCATCTGGTCCTGAGGCTTTTCCAGCTTTCAGCATCTTGATTGCATTCAGGACTTCTGAGTTCCTTGGTGGTCAATGTTCACTGGGAGTTCTGCTTCCGTTGTTGGTATTGTTGTGCGCGTTGTAGATGGTGGACGATTTGGAAGTCTTTTGAAGTGTTCAGCCCAGTGTTTTCTTTGCTCCACCTCTTTGGTGACTGACTTTCCATTGTCGTCCTTGACTGGCTTAATCTGTGTCGAACGTTTGCCCGAAAGGTGCCTAGTTGTTTGGTAGAGTGTGGCGCGGTCTCCTTACCCTGCAGCTTGTTCTGCTTCACTTGCCATGGCTTCATAATATTTTCTTTTGTCTTCCCTGGCACTCTTCTTCACTCTTTAGTTCAGCGTATTGTAGCTTGCATTCAATTCCTGTTTTTGTTGCTCATCGTGCATTAGATAATCTTTTGTTTCACTGTCCTTCTCTCCCCTATTAGTTTCTAAGTGTCCGTAGTGAGCCACTGTTTGTCCTGCCTCTTCTTTCTGCCTAGAACTTCCATTATCTGAAATAAAGCTTTACTATTAATGTGTTTGATGTAGTTGAATTCTTTGAGCTGGATAATTTATTTGCGAGGCTTTCAAGGGACATTTAAATCCATGCCAACCTATCAAATCAAAGGCGCTCAAGGAGAGCACAAAGAAAGTCGCCCGACCATATATAAAGGACATCATCTCAAAAATCACCGCAAAACTCTTCAAATCTTGATGAGGAATTGATGTCGCATACAAACCAACAAAATCACTTCACTCAGCCAACTCTGTGTCAACAAAAAGACTCAGCAACGAAAGAAGATAAAACCAACATCATCTACAAAATAAACTGTAACAACTGCGAAAAACACTACACATGACAAAGTGGACATCCCCTTAGTCTTCGTATCCATGAACATAAACTAGCCGTTAAAAGACATGATATCCACCCTCCCATATTGGTTTGCTGCATACAGACAACCACGGACATCAGTTCGACTGGGAAAACCAGCGTTCAAATATTGGAGAAAGGAAACACCAAGAATGTTAGAGAATTTTAGGAGTCTGGTATTCCACTTAATCGCCAATCAGTAGACGCATCGAGATAGACAAAATCTACTAACCAATAAGGAGGAAATCTCAACGACTAAAGCGTCACGCTGAAGGTCACCCACCAGGAGACATCACTAATAGTGAGCTCGTGGAGAAATCTTAAACCTCACTTCAATTCAAATTGAAGTATGCTCTGAAGATGTTGCCTAACAGGGGGAAATGAAAGCTTCGCAAATTAACTATCCAGCTCAGAGAACACAATCAAATTAAAATTACTCACCTGAGCTACAAATCTTTTCCACCATATTAATATGTTCACCTGTATTTTTGTATTCGCTGCCTCTTCTGTCAACTTGTTGATTTTTATCTATAGATCTTCAAGATTGTGCGATGTTGGACATAAATAGTGTCCATGATTTGTTAACATAGTTCATAGGTTCGAGACTTAGTGGGAACACCATCACTCACTGTGAAATGCAAGTACATCCCGTTCACTAGTTCCGAACAGGACGAAATGCACATCCTAGGATCGACATTGCTGGTCACCATTCAACAAATGTCTTCAAGTTAATCCTGATATATCGCGGAAGCGTCCACAATTAAAACTGACACGTCAAAAGAGGCCGAGCATTTCAGTCCAATCAATGAAGCCGAAAATCAAAATTCGACTGAAAAACACTCAGATATGTCTGTCTGAAATAGACTACTATTTTGGTGGAAGCTGGGTGCCGACAAGCCGGAAGTCGCAGAGAGCAATTCACGTCAATGTCAACGTCACGGACTGGGGTCATGAGAAAAAAACACAATAACAAAGCTTAACCTTGAGGAACTCACCAACCAATCACAGCAGACTTAACGCGTGCAAATACCATTTGCAGATATATGGCTTAACTTTCTGAGAAACGGTCACAAGCAGTACAGAACAGCCTTGAGCAAGGAAACAACAAATCAGAAGACGTTGCTCTCCGATCTGTTGCCTAGCCTTTGTATTTTGTCGCTACACTACTACCACCACCGATTGTGGACAATAATGAGCCTAGAACTTCGATTCTTATTTTCATATTGTAGAAACAGTCGAGAACCTCTTGCATAACTGTCAGGTATTCTATTATTGAATCACTGACGCGTTTCTTTGTTGGCACACGCTTCATACAACCATAATAAGAACAATAACATTAACTACCTCAAGTACAAAATACTTACTTGTAGGAACCTTCTTCATTTACACACTGACCTCTCTGACAGACTCCGTCAACTTCACATTCATTAATGTCTAATTAAAACAAAAATTTTAAAAATATCTAATGATGGTGTTGACTGGGGCACTGTAAAAAAATATTTAGACATTGCATTGTAAGCATCACCTCCTGGGGAAGGTAAAACTATTTAAAAGAATCGCTACTGACCAAAGAATGTTCTTTTCGATAACCTCTTTTTATCAGGTTATACAGTTATATATATACATAGTAGTGAGTGAATTAGTGTTATGAACAACATTAAATCGAATCAATAATATCAATAGATTACAGTTCAATAGCATCAACATAACAATTAAATGAATGTCAGAAAAAATTGGGAAAGATAATAATACAAATTTATGAATATATAGTCTTTACGGAAGACCAACCAGGGCAGTAGTAGTGGCTGGCTGGACTTGCTTCTTCTGTACACAAAGTAATGGGTGTTTCACGAGAGTTGCGATAGCCTCTGCTATCTGCAACACGTGGTACCTCGATGATTTCGTCAGTTTATTAGGAACTCGGTAGGTGATTCAAAAGGATTCTTTACTATTATGAATGCACATAACTGTAGAACTTGATGATGAAGTTATCAAAAAGAATGTTCTTTGTTCAATAACCATTCTTTTGAAAATTTTAATGGGTGTTCTTAATCAGCTAAAATTGTTTAAAATCATTCAATTTTTGTAGGTCTTTAGACATGCTTTCGTTCTAATCATAGTGATAGCGTGAATTCTGTCTATCGGCCTGGGGATTATCACTCTGGAGTGATCATTATTGAAAAATGTTATGCTTGTATGTATGGTAGTATGCTTTCATCTGCTACTTACAATCACATTTGAAACTTTAGCGATGAAATATTCATTTTATGATGTTTAATCTAAAACATACTTGAGAAATATTTTTATAAGATTTCATCATGAGCTGACATTAGTCGCGGAACCATTGGAAAACCTGGGAGTACTGGACAGCTGTTTCGTCCTAGTTTGGGACTCTTCACAGTACGCACCCACCACAGGGGTTGAAATCCAGGACCTCGTGGTTACAAGGCGAGCTCATATACTACTAAGCTACTGAGACCCGATCCAATGACCCATGAATTCTAACTTCTGCCAATTCACGACATAGCGCGACCCCTAGCCAATGTCTTCGGTGGGTATTTGTCCTCACACCCGACCGGCTGCACCCTACTGGTCACGACTACTCACGCTATGTCGCGGACTGGCAGAAGTTAGAATTAATGGGCCGCTGTATCAGGTCCCAGTGGCTTAATGGTATACGAGTTCGCTTTGTAACCAGCAGGTCCTGGGTTCGAATCTCGGTGGATGCGTACTGTGAAGAGTCCTAAACTAGGACGAAACAGCTGTCTAGTACTCCCAGGTTTTCCAATGGTTCTGTGACTAATGTCACCTCATGATGAAATCCTGCACACCAATCAAATCCCTACAAACCAACACTTTAATATTTTTATGTACACCTGAATGTTTAAGATACGAGTAGTATTGATATCAGCATTCTAGCAGCAATGCCTCTGAATGAAGTTAAACGTTTGCTTGAATCCCTGACACTGCAGTAACTGAAGTAATTATTTATAAGCTCGTTTTAACTAGAAACCTGATACTGTGCTATTTTTATAACATCCCTGGGTTCCGAATGGGACATAGGGCTTCAGCCACGTATATTCATTTCATCATGTCACTATACAGTCTGTTTCAGTTAACTTCACGATTGCCCTTACGTATTATTCTGCATGTCTCCCTTAGTCGCTTGTAAAACTTGTTTCACATTCAGGTTGTTTGGCTCCGGGTGTCACCTAACAGTCTCCAAGGTTTATTTTCAATCCATAACCGCCTCAGTTTGTGAATTTTACTGGGGATTAGGTCTGTTGCACTGATATAGTTCCTTGTTGCTCATTCTTTTTATATGACCATTTTATCTTCAGTACCAAGCCAGCATAGACGGTTTTCGATAGAAGTCTGAAGTCAACTGTTCAAAATGCTTTTCGTCTTCCTAATGCTCAGTGAAGCAGATATCCAGACTGACATCAGATTAAAGAAGATCTCTCTCGCTTTTCCGATCCAGGTTACCTTTAACATCCTCATATGTGCCCTTAAATATTCAAAACAATTCAGTCCAGGTTGGTGGAAGAAGTACCACCCTTCATATTTCTCATGTTGATAGCGATTGGTGTTTGTTGCTGGTTCGATCTCATCATCATCATCTATATTCTCTATATTCAGTTGAAGACCTATTCTGACACCATTATGGATAAGATTTTATTTTGATACATCACACTGTGTTATACCGTAATATTAACTGATTGAGTTTTGAGCACAAACTATTGCTCATAATCATAATCATACGACAGTACACAATTTTTATACTTAAACCTCTTCTGACAATTTGTTAGATTTCACCTATGGACCTACAAGTCTGTGTGACATCATTCTCCCGCGAGGTGCAGATTTCTTATTGTCTAAATGTCGCTCCAAAGTAAGCTCGTCTTGTCATGTTCTTCACGGTCTGCTGGTTGATCCAGTGCACCGCAATCAAGAATGTTATTGATGACGGAGAACAGCCATGTCTTATTGCCATCTTCACTTTAAGTGTAATTAGGTATTATAACAAAAATAGCTTACTATGTCACCGAAACTTTAACATTTTAAATAGTGCAATAATATAAACATTTTAGCTTGAACCTAACTAACCTTTACACACTCCATCAATTTCTTCAAATCCTTTACCACAATGTGTTGTATGACATGTTTGGCATGGTTCCCCCCATGCAATACCTAAAGCATTGCAGCAGACTTCATGAGTTAACTTTATCGCTTCATAATCATACTGTGATATACGATATTGCATTGGATTAACGCATAGTCCACGTTTCAGCGACGTATAACAAGCACCTTTTAATTTAACTGGGAAAGTTGAAAAAAAACAATTAGGGAAATATTACAGTCGAATTTTCACTAGATTCATATACGTATAAAACTTGGGCACTGTGGTAGTAAGTAATTCACATAGTGAAACAGTGTTATTTACTGGATAACGAAGTTTCGAACACAATTTATTACCACAACTTCAAAATTATATTCATAAATAGGTGGGAAAATATAGCGATTGAAACGTTCAGTAATACTCCAAAGTAATGGGGGAAGGTATGTAGATGACACATTCCCTGTACTCAGAACACAAGATATAGATAAATTTTTCAAACACATCAACTCAAAGATGGAGGCAATTCAATTCACTTGTGATGAATTGGAAAGACAGGAAAGGGAGCTTACAATGTCAGATTGCAACGTAAAAAGGAAAGAAGATGGGAAGTTAAACATTAGCGTGTGCTTACAGGAAACTTACACATTCAAACAGATATTCGAACTTCCGATCATCCCATCCTATGTCATTAAAAATAGGATTGGTGAAATGTTTAAGTAATAGAGCAGAAAAACTAAGTAGTAGCAAGGAAAATCTGAGACAGGAAGTGAGGCATATAAAAGGAGCTTTGTAACTTAATAATTACCCTGATAAATTGGTCAGAAAGTATGTAGAGAAATGTAAAAATAAAATAAATAATGATAATAGCGATAGTGATAATAATAATAATACTAATGACGACATGTATGTCAAACACGTGCAAGATAATGACGACACTAACAATAAGGAATCTAAATCATCAGCATTAACTCCATACAAGGAAGGAACCTCGAAAACCTTAGGCAGAATTCTTAACAATGCTCGCAGGAATAAAAGTGGCTGGCATTGAAACCACCCAAAAACTCAATTAGAAACAAGCTTTGTCGGTCACAGGATCAATCCTGTGGAGCTTTATGTAACACGGCAACTGCAATGATTGTCAAGTCAAATACATAGGTCAAACTAGTAGAACAGGGGTAGTCAGACTAACCGGGGATACAAACTTAGCAAAATTTAGACTTGTTGACCCGAATAAGATAAGAAATCTAGAGAATAGTTCAGCTATAGCACTCGCTACATGCAATTACACACAAAACAGCCTCAAATAGAATGGATGTGATAAGATGACAGTTGTAAGATCTAATGTAACAGGGTGAGTGGAGGGAGAGATTAATAAAAGAAGCTTTGTTTATCGAATCAACTGAGAGAGAACACGTATGTAATAGGAATGATTCAACACCTGTCCAGTCGGATATCTGGAAAATTCTACTACCTCAAGGACGGCAAATAGGAGAAGACAAAGAAAACTATAATACTCAAGTTTAAAAGTCGTGTGATTATAATTGATGATATGATTATGAACCTCAACAAATTGTGTTCGAAACCTTGTCACATCCAGTAAATAATACTGTTTCACTGACTGTGTGATACATCTAATAAACAAAGTAATATGGAAGTACTTACTGCTTATAAAATAATCGAAGACATTACCTGTGCTAGGTGATCACGCGTACACTGTTGAAAATTATAGATGAATTATGACAGATTTTATCCATGCATGTAGGTACTTAGACCAGACTAAGTCTTAAGAGCTTCGATACAATTTTAATAATCTTAAATTGGTCGTTTAACTTAAAATCTGTAGAAAAAGTAAAGGAGTTTGTTCAATGACAACAGATCCATTTCTCCGTCAATGTAATAGAGTTTCTTAGACTACCAAGACGATTTGATCAGCCTTTTGTGGAAACTAAACCTTTTTCCTTGTTAGATAAGTTTATTCTAAATATCACACAGTGTATGAGAAACCATAGGATAAGATTAGTACTGAAAATGACAAAAATAACAAAATCGATATAGAATTCCGAGCCTTTGTAGTACTGCCGTATATAAATAAGGAACATCAGAGGCCTTATGTAGGATACTCAATGAGGTTGAAATTAGAGTGACACTTAAAACAACCAACCAATAAACTCTCTCAAAAATGATCTTTATCGGCTTAAGGACCCAACAGATTCAATTAAGAAAAATAATACGGTTTACCAAATCCCTTATAATGACTTCGATGTCAGTTTTATGGGTTACACTTGTAGGTCAGGATAAATTAGTTTATGGGAATTTTTTGAATTTAGCTAGACCTAGAATGGATCTAGTTGGCATGGTTTCAACCACAGGTATTCGAAACGGATGAAAATGTAAAAACCAGACAGAATCGGAAGGGCAAGATGCGCCTTTGTTAAGCTAGAACCAATTTGGACATCTTCCGCTCTCACTTAGCCAGCCTAAAGAACAAATTTCGGGTTTTTAACACCAATTTCAAGTTGGTACTTCTGGCAGTAATTTAGTGCATCATGGAAAGGATTTTCAAAAGGTCGGCGAATTTCATCATCTGCCATCTTCGCTGTCTCCATACTGAAGATCAAATGGCCGGCCATAATGAATTAGTAACAAGAGAATCTCGCAACAAATCAACAGGCGGGAACCGATTGTTCATCAAATACATAGGAGAAAATGGAAATTGAGCGTATGTTGAGGAAACTGTCAAAAGACGAGTGTTTTGTCGGTTTGGGGCTGACATGGAGGAGATCGTGTGGCACGGTGGAGATGAGAGATTATGGGCAATCGCGGGGCCAGCTGAAGAGGACAGCAAAAAATTGAAGAAAGTGGAGATATCTTGTTGAATCTCTGTGTTCCATTTGTAACCCTAGAGAATAATAAGTAAATTACAAAACAGAAATATTGACCCTGCTAAGTTAAATAGCTTGAAAAAGGGCTTAACTATTGCGTTGTATTCTTTTGCATATAATCCCATTCACAACATAGAAAAATTAGCACAAATGGGAAGAATCTGAAAGAAGCAACCTCCTTCACCTACCTGCCTCTCTACTTGAGAAACATCGTTTCAACTACATGCGGACGGAATTCATGAGGATGTCAAAGCAAAGATCGGGAAAGCAAAGAAAACTTTCATTTCTCTCAAGTCTGTGTTGAGGTCAACAGCACTGGGAATGAAAATAAAACTAAGATTCGAATTTTCAACTCTAATGTGAAGTCAGTGATTCTTAGTACACGGATCAGAGACTTGGCGTGTCATAAAGAGCACCTCAAACAAACTACAGACTTTCATCAACAGCTCTCTTCGCTCAGTACTACTCAAGATCAGATGGTCGGCTAGAAAACATCAGTAATAGTGAGGGATTTCTGGAGCGAACCAACTAGACAGGAACCGATTGTGCAACAAATTTGCAGGAGAAAATAGACGGGTGAAGTGGTCATACTTTGAGAAAATCATCAAGTGACATGACAAGACAGGCCTTCGAGTGAAGGCCGAAAGGGGAAGAGGCGAGTTGTTCGTCACTGCGAGGGTGACATGGAGGAGTTCATGTGAATAGAAGATGAAAGCATGTGGGCAGACGTGGAGTCAGATGATGAAAACGTTGGTGGAGAACCGAATGCAATGGAGACGTTCGAATGAAGCCTTTTGCTCCTCTAGGAACTAAAGGAAACAGTAGTAATAATACCTAGCGATGGCGTGTGACAGGGTGAGAGTACTAAGAAGCATTATAGGTAAGTGGAGAAAAAGAGAGAGGGGATCATCGATCGGAATGACGCAACACTTGTACCAGAGATATAAAGCGTTGCAACAAATAACAAGGAAAAGTCGGGGAGAGAGGAATATATCTAAGACAGATTGTGAAACCATGTGACTAAATCGATATGATTTTGAGTGGCGATAACTTATGCTCGAAACGTCATCCACTTGTTAATACTGCCTCATCACTGTGTGATATTTGAAAATAAACTTATCTAATACGGAATTACATTCTACCACATAGACAAGACGGAGGTTATGAAAATAACCAACCAACAACTGCAACAACATCCAACGTTAATCACCATCAACGGGAGGGATTTGAAAGAGGTTACTTCATTCATTCACTTATCTAGGGAGCATTATCTCAACCACGGGAGGAGCGGACGAGGATGTCAAATCGAGAATCGAGAACGCGAGAAACACATTCATCAACCTGAAACAACCAATCTGAAAATCTTCGTCACTCAGCATCAGCAACAAAATTCGGATTTTCAATACAAACACGTCAAGTCAGTCAGTTCTTCTATACGGATCAGAAACTTGGCGGGCGGGTCACATAGAATATTTCCAACAGCCTGTTGCATACCTTTATCAACCAACAACTGTCTTCTCTGACTCTATACTGAAGATCAGATGGCCGGGCCGTTAAGAATCACCAACAAGGAATTATGGGAACAAACAAAGCAAGAACCAATCGTCTAACAAATATGCAGGAGAAAGTGGAGATAGATCGGACACTCGCTGAAGATACCGCTGGGTGACATCGCGCGTTAAGCCCTCGAGTGGAACTCGAAAGGGAAGCGGCGTGTGGGACGTCCAAGGGTGACATGGAGGAGATCGTGTGAAGAGGAGTTGAAAGAATATAGACTAACATGGATGCAGGCGAAAAATACATCAGAAGGAAGACAAAAGCAAATGTAGACGTGCAGTTGAAGCCCTGTGTTCCACTAGGAACCCGAGGGAGCAATAAATAATAATACAGTGTTCCCAATTTTCACACTTAGATTAACTAACCTAGGTCCAAGGCTTCCTGTCGATTGCCTTCAACCATCTCATTCATCAAATGAATGTGCACCGTGATGTCTCCAGAACTACCTAGAATGGTGGCTACATTGCAAAACCTGACTGATAGAATTCAGCCTGCACCAAAGAAACGACTAGACACGTCACGCTAGTTACTTGTGTCTAATCCAAAAAAGATTAACTAACCCTTTTTCATGTTTGAAACAATAGAAACAGTCTTCGAAAATATTTGAGTGGTGAGTACATTCAATAGTTCGATCTTTTGGTACATTAGTTATATTTGAAGTTTGTAACACTAATTCACAAATTCAAGTAAAACTATGTACGATATTAACACATTTTCATCACAATAAAAACAGTAATTTAATACTTACCATTGCAAGCTTGACCACTATATCCAGGTTGACATGTACACTTCCCATTTTCACATACTCCACGTCTGTTACAGTTATCCGGACATTGATCTGAAAAGTTTCAAGCAAAAAGATGTATGAAAGAACCTTCAATTGTTCTCATGGAGAAAGATTAACAATATATATATTTTTGATTAAAGCTTGATTCCACACTGTATTTTTTGTACAAGTATGGAATTTTTAGCATGTGATGTCGGTAGCCCAAATTTTCCAGGCTGACCATAGATGTCAGGTATGCGTTGGCCATGTGCATGTGCATGGTCGGCGAGAATCCTAACCACTGTGCCACCGACGTCCAATGTAGTGAAATGAATGGAACTGTAAAATACCTTTAGTAAGATACTTCTGTTTTGGCAACGTAATCGGTTCTCATTTATGAATAACGACAAAATAACAGAGAATTTCAAAGTTACCTAAAGTTTCAAAAGGTCAGAGAAGGGAAATCGGCAAATTGGATCCCTAACTTCAAAAGAAGGATTGTCTCCAGGGCAGAGTCAGACAATCCGCTATCAGATACGTATCAGTCCAGTTGGTTTCTTTGCTTTTTTGTGTTCTTTGATGCACATTATTGTGGAGTTACTGGACTCTAACTGTGATCTATCATGAGCGCCTTCAGCTGTTAGTGTTGTATGCCTAGCAACACGCGTGGACTTGTTCTGCAATGCTTTAAGCGGTTGTGATTCCATTGTTTGGCGCACGATGGCTAACTCAGAAATGAAACAGATAAGGGGAATCCGACTGTTTAATTAAAACAAAGCATTACAATGTCCACTGACCGATTATGATACAATGTGATTTCTGCCCAGTGCTCTGAATGTCAGAGTAAAGAAATTCAAATAAGCGCAGGTAAACGGAGGGAGTAACTATGAAGTCAGTTATTTCAATATATCCATTTTTGTGATAAATGCTGAGCATCACAGCAGAATTCTCTTTCTATCTCGGCTGATATGAGTACAACAGGTGGCTTCGACTGATATCACGAATACTGGCGGAATTTGGCTTGTTGTGATGAGTGAAAATATGAAGAAATTCGAATAGCACGGGGCGTTTCTGAGTATCTAAAACAATAGAGTGCGGTCATTTAATGGTACATGGCGCTGTCCCATCACTGGCAGTTCCCAATAAGCTCGAGTAGGGAAGTATAACCTGCTCTGGCATGCAAGTTATGCCAAAGATCAATGATTTTTATTAGTTGGCGGTAAAACAATTATATAGTCTAGAAACAAAAGGTAGTGAGCACCACTCAGAAATGATTATAAATAAAATTTGCAAGCGTTAAAAGAAACAGCAACAGCAGTGCTGAAAACAGTGAGAGACTCAGAATATTTGTAAAAGACCCTTTAAAGTTAGGCGTTCCAAAGGAAGAAATATCAAGCATTGCAGTATTTCGTGAATTATGTAATAGCTCTCTTTACCGACGGTATTTATTCTTAAACTTATTTCACAAGCTGACTGAATCGTTTATATGTGATTCGTTAGTCGTGACACTTAACTTCCAACCAGAGGATATCACATACTTGAATTCTGCTTCTCTCTCCCCACTGGTAGACGCTACCTTGACGTGATTAGCACGCTTGCATATCGCAGTGACCCAACAAGTTTTACTGGCTGGATCTAATATTCCTTCAGGTCCTATCATGCCAGAAAGGTTGTTAGGATAGCGATTAGATCAAAAGCAGTTACTAGCATAGTGTAAGATTCGCTTTCACACTAGGCTCGGAGTCTGTTGACAGTTTCGTGCTGCTGAGGAACAAGGATGCTAGCATGCTGGCTAAGCTACCTCTTCACTCTGGACAGGGGGAAGTTAGAAAACATCGACCCCAAAAAACTATACATACCAACGTACCCTATGACCACCGGTGGCTCATCGACAGAATGCCAGTCAACCACACAAGTGGTTCGGGATTCGATCCCCGGCTACACACTCACTGCTTTATCTCAATAAGCCAGTAATAAGACTAGTAAGGAGGGAATGTTCGGCATGAGGCTAGCAACAACATCCCATAAAAAATAATCACCACAAGTACGGAAACTTCAAGCCTCTAGCTTGAAGGCGCCCTATATTCCTCTGGAAATGTTAAGGAACAAAATGAATTAAAAACAAAAAATAATTCCAAACGAAGAAATAAGAGGAAGTCAAAAGCTGGGTGAACATGGATTACATAACAAGAGAGTGTCCTGAACACAAGATGTAGATGAAAGTCTTTCGAACTAATTAACCTTACATTATCCATCCCTTTGATAGATTGTTCCGCTGATGTAGGATTATTTGTGCAAAATAAAATGCTCATGAAATCAACTATAAGTTTGTCTAATCTCTTCATTCAACAACCACGATGGAAGATGTTCTTGTGAGTGTCTTAGCAGCATCTTCATGGTACGGCATATGTACCATATTAGATCCATAGGAGCAAGTCGACTGATATATGCACACGAATGCTGACCAAAGTAGAACGTTGTCTTTGACTTTTTTCACGAACAAGAGGTTGCGTGAAGAACGTGAGACATATAGGCGTGGTGACGAATGTTTTTCAAACCATTGATATATCTAGACTGGATTGATCAGCCTCATTTCAGTGTATAGGCTACCAGAATGGATAGTTCGACACGCACGTTTCGTCCTCATTGGGACTCATCATCTGGATGCAACTGAGTGATAGTATCTGTACTGATACTTAAATGCAGTAATCACTGCAATAAAGACCAGAACTTTATCCATCAGATCACTGGAACTCAAGAATTTACCAGAAGGTGTAATTTAAAACTGTTTATTCATTTTTGTGGTTTCCCGCTGTTATATTTGGACTTAATTAAGCAATGGGAAGATGAAGTCGATCTGACCTTTTTAAATGTTTTGGCTCAACAAATGCTGGAAATTCCGATCCCACACGTTTATTTCATTCATAATCTCATAAAAAATTAACTGGGTATATCATGTCAAAACTAAAATCAATAAGCACTGGGCCGTTAAAAGGTAGTATTCTTACCGACACTAAGTGGGGCAACAAGCTTCCATTCTAGTCCGGCGCATCCCTAGATCATACCTAGTTCTCTAGCTATTAGTAATCCCAGAAAAGAGGGAGCGAGCTAGCCTACCAACCACACCCTATACTCGAGGAAAGGTAAAATGGCCTCACGATGCTAATTTAGATATTAAAAACGCAAATAATTAGGAAAACAACTGGTATTACTTCACAAATAATCCTTTATTTTACTGGTGTATTAGTGTCTTTTAGAATCAGTTAAGTATCACTCATTAATTATTGAATTGAATTTTTGATTTCCCCGTCGATTGATTGGACCGAAGTGCTCGGTCTCAGGTTGACATGTCGGCTTCTTGTGCAGTGGCTTCGACGATGTCTGGGGATTTGATTTGTATACAATTGGTGGATGGTGGCTAGCAGTGGAATCCAGGATGCGCATTTCGTCCCATTTGGGACACGTCAGCTGGATGTACCTGCATTTCTCAGTGAGTGATGATGTTCCCACTGCTAGCCACCATCCACCAATTGTATACTAATTAAATGCCCAGACATCGTCTAAGCATCTGCACAAGAAGCCGATATGTCAACCTGAGACCGAGCACTTCGGTCCAATCAATCGACGGGAAAATCAAAAATTCAATTCAATAATTAATATGACCCGTTGCACAAGAGGTGGCTCTCGTAACCCAAGTGGTCTAGTGGATAACGCTTTGGCGTTTGAAACCATGGGCACTGGGTTCGAGCCTCAGTGGGAACATTATAACTCACTGAGAAATGTAGTTACATCCAGTTGATGAGTCCCAAATAGGACGAAATGCGCGTTATCCTGGATTCCACTGCTAGCCACCATCCACCAGTTGTATCACTCATTAAATTATTCGATGTCCTTAGGTTATACACTAAATGTTCAACACTATGTCAAGTGTTAGATTTTGGAAGTGCAACTTAAGAGATTGCCACCTCTATTTAGTTCTCTTCCCCTCTGTAATTAAAAGCGAAGTATGTCTAGAAATAGAAGTATTCGTTTGTAGGCATTTCACTGATTGGTTACAGGATTTTATCATAAGCTGACACTGGTTAAAGTTTCATTGGAAAACCCCTAGGACTTTCTGGTTACAGGGCGAGCTAGTTGGTAGACCACTAGACCACAGGGACCCGAACCAATGGCCCATGAATTCCAATGGCCTTGTAACCAGAAAGTCCTGAGTTCAAACCCCGGTGGGTGTGAACTACTAACGAGTTCAAAACTAGGACGAAACAGCTGCGCATCACTCCCAGCTGGTTTTTCAGTGGTTCCCTATTCGATTTCAGTTCATGACGAAGCCGTGTAATGTCTAGAAATCACTGCATGTTCAGTCTTCTCTATACTCAGGAGCTAACACTACTGTAGATATTTATAATTTAGATTGTAGATGTTTCAGTAATGTGATTACCCAGCCAGTTTGAACAAAGTCTTAGGTTTCCGTCTTGGGGTCATTTCAGTACTTTCTGCTTCGAAATGTTATGTTGATACATAATTTAGCAGTCTGTTTAAGATCACTGTTAACTCAGTGAATAATTATAGCTTTACCGACTGTTATTCATTCTTTTTGACTGGCTTATTCATGAAAATTTAGTTTTCTTTGTTTTAATTTATCTTCTTCTGCTCCATGAGGTAGCTATTTCTGCGCCGATTTGCCTGTTGTAAATTGTGTTGAGATTAGATCGATTCTCAACTGTTTTGACTCTAGGCAGGTTTCGTGTTAACTGATCTCTGCTGTTAATGTAGACGACTGCTGAAATGAATTTTGTAGTATTTCAACATTTTGGGCTACAATCAATCCAGTGTAACAGTGAATTGATCTTTCTACCTTATGGGTGATGGATAGGTAAAATGTCTCGACGGCTTGTTTCTATTGACTGATGCATTTGTAACTAAATACGAGCATCTAACTTCATACGGGACTGCAAAGCGTTCCATTCTGTCGTTCAAAACAAACATTCTTAAGTGCGTCGGTGGCACAGTGGTTAGGACTCTCGCCGACCATGCACGTGGTCCGAGGTTCGATCCCCTGCCGACGCACACTT